GAAGGAGAATGAGGAAGGAATATGAGAGATGGAAAGGAAGGAAGGAAGGAAAAGGAGTGAGAAAGGAAGGAAGGAAGGAAGGAAGGAAGGAAGGAGAAAAGAAGGAAATGGAGAGAAGGAGGGAGGGAGGGAGGAAAAGAAAGGAGAAGAATGAGGAAAGCAAAAGAGGGAGGGAGGGAGGAAGGAAAGAGAATGAGGAAGGAAAAGGAAGGGGGAGGGAGGGAGAAACTTAATGAAATTAACAAGATGCAGAACTCCAGGCAAGCAACAATCCATTTGCAAAGACTTTGCACAAGGGGCTTGTTTTAACACCCCAGAAGGCTCCATGGTGCAGCTTCTCAGATGCTCCTGAGTGTAGCTGGTGGGATGCATTTTTAGTCTTAAGGAGAGAAGGGTGTGCTGCTGCTGGCATAATAAAGCCTTGGACGGTTTCCAGAATCTAATAGGGGAGCTGTGGATTGGCAAGGTCCCCTTATCCGCATCCCCGTGACTCCTTCCTTCCTTCCTCCCTCCCTCCCTTCCTTCCTTCCTTCCTTCCTTCCTTCCTTCCTTCCTTCCTTCCTTCCCTCTTCCCTGCCCTTGTTTACCCACCAAACTGCTTGCCTTCTTTCTGATCAAACAGGGAAATTTTCCAATTGGCTGCTGTCAACCTTTAATTCAGCCCCTTTTTGGAGGGGAGGGTGGGAATGCAAAATTGCAGTCTTGAGGCACAATTGGAGGTGAAAAAAGATGATAATATTTGTGTATCCAGCTTTGTGTGCTTTAGGATGATGCAGTTAAAGCCTGGAAATTTCAGACTGGGTATTTCTCCCTCCCCTTTTTTTTTCTTCTTCTTCCTTTAATAGCTTCTAGCTCTCCTGAGTTATAGACAAAGCTTCAAAGTATGTGGATCATGCTTATGCAAAGCGAAGGGAATAAAGTTGAAGTGTGTGTGTGTGTGTGTGTGTGTATTTTCCCAGCTCTGGTCAGGCCTCTATAGTTTTAGGGGTTTTGTGTGTGTGTGTGTGTGTGTGTTTTTCTCAGTGCAGAATTTTGTTGATTTGCTTGAAGCGCACAACTGGCACAGCCATACTTTGAATTCCAGACTCTGAAAGGTCATCCCATTTAATCTCCTGTGACTTCAGGAAACTCAATTCGAGCATCCTGACCACAAATGGCTCCATTTAGCTTTTGCGAAATAAATCTCTTAAAAAAAAAAAAAAAGACAAGAAAACGCCCACTTTCTTCTGAGCTGGGATTGTTTCCTTAATTTCGGTATTGTGTTTCCGATTGAGGTGGCCTTGTGACCCCCAGAGGGGTCAATTGTTTCCTCTTATGGCTTATTCAGGGATCTTATCGCTGAAAACATATTGCCTCTGACTGGGTCTTTGTCTGAGCTCCTCTTAAACCTCTTTCTTTTTCTTAGCAGCCCACTGAGCTGATAGCTAGTTTCACTGATGATAATGAGCGATTGCACAAGAAATCTGAATGGACCAATCAGTTGTCTATTTTGAACTGAAGTGGCCACCATCCTGGCCACATCATTCAATGTCCATGGAGATTCGCAGTCATCCAGCTCAGGGTTGTTGTCCCAAAGGTGCTTTTTAAAGAGGAAATAGGACTTTCTTTGGGTTTTTTTTCTTTTCTGGAAGGCATTTTGCTTCTCCTTCAAGAAGCTTCTTCTTCAACTGAAGAAACTTCCTAGAATAGAAGCAAAACATCTTCGAGGAAAAAAAAACCCCAAAGAAAGTCCAATTTACTCTTGAAAAAGCCACCTTTGTGATTAAGAAAATTTTGGAATGTGCAGAAATGAGTAGATTAACATTGGCAATTAGAGAACAAGAAGAAATGGAGTATTATATGATTTGGAATTTAACAGATTTAACAGATAATCAGAGTTGGAAGGGACCTTGTAGGTCATCTAGTCCAACCTCCCCCTCCAAGCAGGAGACCCTACACCATTTCTGACAGATGGCAGTCCAGTCTCTTCTTGAAAGTCTCAAGTGGTGGCGCTTCCACAACTTCTGAGGGCAATTTCTGTTCCATGGGTTGATTGTTCTCCCTGTCAGAAAGCTTCTCCTTATTTCCAGGTTGAATCTCTCCTTGATCAGTTTCCATCCATTATTCCTTGTCTGGCCTTCCGGTGTTTAGAAAACAGCTCGACCCCTTCCTCTCTGTGGCAGCCCCCCAAATACTGGAAGACTGCTATCGTGTCTCCCCTGGTCCTTCTCTTCCCTAGACAAGCTAGGCCCAGTTCCTGCAACTGTTCATTGTATGTTTTAGCCTCCAGTCCCCTCATCATCCTGATTGCTCTTTTTTTATATAAATTTATTTATTTTATAAATGGTTGGAAAATAAAGTAAGAGATTAAATGATATTGTTATAACGATATATAATGCTGAATAGGCTATAATATGAATGTAAAGAAATGTATACAAATATTAATATGTGCACAAGATATATGTACCCAGTCGACACACTGTATAACTGAAAGATGGTTTTATTTTTTGTTTTTGTTATAAAAATAAAAAACTTCTTATAAAAAAAGAAAAAGCACCTTTGGGCTACCTGTACAGAGTCTCCCAAATGATGAGAACATTTTTTTTTGGAGTGAAAGTAATTCAGTCCCACAATGTCAACATACTTTATCACATGTTCATTTACCTTGATTGCCCTTATAGATCACTTGCAGCCTTTTTCACTGTTCTATTGTCATAGTGATTACAGGGAGTCCTCCACTTAACGCCCACAATTGAGCCCAACATTTCTGTTGCTAGGCAAGACAGTTGTTAAGTGAGTTTTGCCCCATTTTAATGACTTTTCTTGCCACTGTTGTTAAACGGATCTCTGCAGTTGCTAAGCTAGTAACAAGGTTGTTAAGTGAACCTGGCTTTCCCATTGAATTTCCCTCTAAGGAGGTGGCAAAATGGGATGGTGTAACTCTAGGACACTGCAACCGTCATAAACATGAGCCCTGTCAGGGCTGCGGTAGTTACCCCCATTTAAATCAAGCCAAACTTCCAAAACTTCAAAAGGATTTCTTGAGAGTTAACATGTCTGGCACTGCCTGGGTGTAGCCGACTCTCAGGCACATCATTCCTTGTCACTCTTGACCCTGGTTTTCCCTCCCACCCCTCTGGGTGTATCGTAATTCATATCCTCCAATGGGACACCTCCATAGCCATCAATCATGTTCTCCAGTTAGAAATTTACTCAGCACAAACTGCAGTCACCTAGTTACTATCTTTGAAAACAGTTATGGAATGCAGTTTCTGTTTGCAAGCTGCCACACTGCTCTTTCGAACCCCTTTGCCCCCCCTCCCTTTTTGTTGGCAACTCTAAAATGGCCATAGAAATGTGTTATGAGTTGACAAGCATCCAAACTTTGACCACATGATCCAATGGGATGCTGTAATGGTTGTAAGAGTGGAAAAAACGGTCCTAAAGTCACTTTTTTTCAGTGCCGTTGTGACTTTGAACAGTCACTAAACAAATTGTTGTAAGTCGAGGACTACCTGTAGTTGGGAGGAAGATAGAAGAGGTACTTTCTCTTCTCTTCTTGCTTCCTTGATCCAGTATTTTGCAAATGTAACTTCCACAATCCCACAAAAGCCACCCTTGACTGGTTATTTTGAGGCCATTTCTAGCAATTTTCCTAGGGGGCGGAATGGAAAAAAAAGAAGACTTCACCGTGAATTTGGAACAGAAAAGGAAGGTCGTTGGGTCTTAATGCGTTTTCCTCCTCCCGTCTCTTCTAGTCCATCGATCCCGGGCAACAGTTCACTTGGGAACACTCCAACCTCGAGGTGAATAAGCCCAAGAACCGCTACGCCAACGTCATTGCCTACGACCATTCTCGGGTCATCCTCCTCCCGATCGAAGGTACAGATGAAATTGTGTGTGTGGGGGGGAGGAGAAACGGGTTGTGGGTTGGCCTCCTCAAAGGCAGAGAGTCCCATCATGGGTTTGTTGTTTTTGTTTTTTGCTGTCAAGAATTTGCTCTTCCTGTACAAACCTTAGGTCAGCTCAAGAGGACTTCCTCTTGAGGGGAGGGCTGCTGGGGGCTCGCTGGGGTCCGGGAGAGCCCCTAGCTAAGATTCTGTGCAGTTTGGAGGGCCCCTCCCCAATCCCACTCCTGGCTGGCCCTCCCCACCCTCTCCTCCCCTCCCAGGAGTCCCCAGCCGGCCTGTTTTGGATGCAGGTCAGAGCAGGGCCCGTGTGGAGGGAAGGCCAGAAATGGGCCCGTTTCCAGTTTCCGGAGAGAGCCTCCGGAGCCCGGGGTGGCCGTTTTCACCCTCTCGGAGGCTCAGGGACAGTCTCCGGAGCCTGGGGAGGGCAAACAACCCCCCGCCGCCGCCATGATGCAGGAGGCCGACTAGGCCACACACACACCCATAGCCACCCCCATCCAGCAACTGAGCAGAGAACCCATTGCTCAAACTTTTGAAGCCAACCCCTGGCTTCCTGTTCTTTTCATCGGCCGTGTTTAATCTACATTGATCCTTTTGAGTAGGAGAGCGTAGAGGATTGGAGCTTCTTGGAGACGGGAAAAGCTTTGGGGCTCAGATGGTTTGCGCTCTTGCGTTCTTTACAGCTGTATCATCCTAGTAGGTGCTTTTTCAACTGGAACTTCTCTGCCTTTCCTTGAAGACATTTTACTTCTCATCCAACAAGCTTCTTCAGTTCTGAAGTACTGAAGTTCTGAGAACAGAACTGAGGAAGCTCCTTGGATGAGAAGTGAACCGCCGTCCAAGAAAAACCAGAAAGTCCAGTTGCCTCTTGAAAAAAAGCACCTTTGGGTCAACCATGATCTGGATGGCTGAGAATATCCATAGATATCATCCTGGTTCTGGGGCAGTGGTGGCATTCAAATTTTTTTTACTACCGGTTCTGTGGGTGTGGCTTGATGGGCGTGGCAGGGGAATGATACTGCAAAATCCCCATTCCTTCCCTACCCCACTAACCTGCTTCCCAGCTCCGTTCTCCTGTGCAGGGCAACCAAAGGAGACCCAGCCGATCAGCTGGGACTCAATGGGAGGTGGAGAAGAGATGGGGGCGGGGCCAGTCAGAGGTGGGATTGGCCAGTTCTCTGAACGGCTGAAAATTTCCCCTACCAGTTCTCCAGAACCGGTCAGAACCAGCTGAATACCACCTCTGTTCTGGGGGTTCATAACTGGGGTATCTTTCCTCCACTAAGATTTCATCCCAGGAATAACAATATTATGCCTGACTGACCCTTGACCTGGTTGCAAATTAGTTCCACTTCCCCATTATAGACCAATCATTTCCAAGTTTGCTGACCTCTTAGCTTCTTAACAGAGTTACAGAATATCAGAGTTGGAAGGGACCTTGGAGGTCTTCTAGTCCAGCCCCCCCCCCTGCTCAAGCAGGAGGCCCTGTGCCATTTCAGACAAATGGCTGTCCAATGTCTTCTTAAAAACCTGCAGTGATGGAGCCCCCACAACTTCTGGAGGCAGGTAGTTCCACTGATTAATTGTTTCCACTGCCAGTAAATTTCTCCTTAGTTCTAGGTTGTTTCTCTCTTTGATTAGTTTCCTTCAAAGCTCATCCATCCTTCATAGTTTAACCATTACCGTGGGGGCCTTTCTGATGCCACCGGATGAACCAAATTTAGGAGCAAAGTTTTGAGTCATTGGATAGAGTCAAGATCGAGTGCTTTCTTTTTAGCAGGGAGTCAGCATGGTTCTGCAACGATAAATCTCTTGAACCGACTGCAGGATAATTAGAAACGTATCTCAGTATCCTTCCATAATGTCTTTGGCTACACAGGCTGAGCATCTTAGAAATTGAAGTCCTACAGGTTGGGGAAAAGGCTGGGTGAGCCATTTTGATGGCTTTGTTCATGGGTCATTGTTTTGTGGTCCTTCAGGTGCTCCTTAACTCCTGGGGACTACCTAGATAGGATCCATATGGTTTCCTTGGCAACAATTTTAGAAGTGGTTTGCTGCAAATAGCTTCTTCCAGCAATGAGAGGCAGAGGGTATGTTTAAGGCTACCCAGCTGCCAAATTTTCTAGGACTGGATGGAGATCCCACATCTTTCCTACTTTACCCCCTTGAGGAATAAGACCATAACTTGCCATCTGAAATCACCCAACCCCGTTCTTGCACCTAAATAGCCTCAACAACAACCAGATGGGCTCTTCCTGTTCCGAAGATTCTCCTAATGCTTAAGTATGCTCCTTTAATAGATTCTTTTCTGTCTCTTGACCATTGTCTTGTCCTCTGGATTAAGCAGCAACAACGTCTTTTTCAGACTGCAGCTGGAGCCATGGGAAGTACTGTAAATGGCTTTAATGGCTATTCTCCCACTCCACTCTGAAAAGAAATAACAAATTGATCCGATCGGTCAGTTTGGGTTAAAGGGGGACCATTGAGGGGGTTTCCCTAAGGTGGATTCACTGGAGGACGAGGGAGTTGGAAGTTTTTCCAAAATCCAATTGCTTTCCCTAATCTTACCGAGAATGAGGGCAGGACAAAGATCACATTTATCTTTCCTTTCAGTTCAAGTAGAGATAGTCGATGTCAGGATTCCAGCAGTTACCCCCATTTAAATCATGAGTCGAGCCAACCTTCCAAAACTTCAAAAGTTTTGGGAGTTAACATGTCCAGCACTGCCTGGGTGTAGCCAATTCTGAGACACATCATTCATTGTCACCCTTGACCCTGGTTTCCCCCCACCCCTTGGGTGTATCCTAATTCATATATTCTCCAATGGGACACCTCCATAGCCCAGAGTCATCAATCATGCTCTCCAGTTAGAATTTTCCCAGCAGAAACTTCAGTCACCTAGTTACGATCTTCGAAAACTATTTATGGAACGCACTTTTGATTTCCAAGCTGCCGCACTGCTCCCCCCTCCCTTTTTGTTGGCAACTCTAAAAAGACCATAGAAATATTTTAGGAGTTGACATTTGACTTATTACCATTAGTTTAGTGACTATTTGAAGTTACAATGGTGTTGAAAAAAGTGACTTTGGACAGTTTTCTTACGACAGTTGTAGCATCCCCGTGGTCGCATGATCAGAAATTCAGACCCTTGGCAAACTGTCTCGTACTTATGATGGTCGCAGAGTCCCTTCGGGGGTCACGCAATCCCCTTTGGCGACCTTCTGACAAGCAAAGTCAATGGGGAAGCCAGATTCACTTAACAACCGTGTTACTAACTTTACAATGGTGGTGATTCACTTTTTGAAAAGGTCTTAAATGGGCCAAGAACTCACTTAACAACTGTCTTGCTTAGTAACAGAAATGTTGGGCTTGAATGTGGTCGTTGGTTGAGGACTGCCTGTAATTCTATTTTCGGCAAGTTTCTGGGCCCTGCCATGTGATTCTTTCGGCCATAGTGTGAAAAGGGGTTCCAATTTTGGGATTTTCTTTTGACTGCCCATCTAAACCCTAAACGGATCCGGCCCTGCCTTGGGGGAAAGCGGTGCATTTTCCCCCAGGAGCATCAGGGAAAAGAAAAGGTTTTTTCTTCTAATAACGCAGTGCATTCAGACATTCAGCCTCCTTTCCTCTTTTTCTGAGCAAAGCTGGTTCTTTAATTTAAAGACATATCAGGTCAGTGCTGCTTGCGCTGGGCTGCTTTTTTCTCCCGTGTTAGCGGAATATAGAAATCCTTCCTGGAAGGGGCCAAAAACAGACTTCATCTATGTCAGGTTGCTCTCGTTTGTGCTGCAGAGGTCAAATGGGTAGGTATGGAGTTCAAAGAAATTACCAGCACGGCCGTGTCCAGAGGAAAAACGTTACTCTAGGGGGATTTTGCTCGGCCCTGCTTTCCGCAAACTGGCTGCTCAGAGCAGCTGTCCTTTCTGATGGCGGAGCTGAGCTCCATAAAGCCAATAAGCGCCATTAAACTTTCCAAGGGCGAAGTTGAAAGAGGGCCTTGGACAAAATGGATTTTTTAATCTGCATCCCCAGCTCCTTCCCAAGGGCCAGCTAGGGTCAGGAGCAGACTCTTTTGCAGCTTAACCTCTTTCGATTGCTTTGCTGCTCTCCGGGTGCAAGGTAATTTCGTGGACTGGGGTGGGGCAAGGAGGGGAGACGGGAGGGGGGAGGGGAGCTTGTAAACTGCTTGACTGAATTTCAGGGAGGGAGGGAGGGGGGAGGAGGGTTTAGAGAGCTGGATGAGCGGTGTTGCATAGAGGTGTGAAAATGGAGAGAAAGGAAAGCAGAAGCGAAGAGGAAAGGAGAAGAGAAGAGGGGAAAGGAAGGGGAGGGGAGGAAAGGAAACAGAATAACAGAGCTGGAAGGGATCTTAGAGGTCTTCAAGTCCACCCCCTGCTCAAGCAGGAGACCCTATAACATTTCAGACAAATGGCTGTCCAGTCTCTTCTTAAAAGCCTCCAAGTGTTGGAACACACGCAACTTCTGGTGGCAAGCAGTTCCACTGATTCATTGTTCTCACTGTTAGGAAATTTCTCCTTAGTTCCAGGTTGCTTCTCTCCTTGATTAGTTTCCATCCATTGCTTCTTTGTCCTGCCTTCAGGTGCCTTGGAGAATTGATTGACTCCCTCTTCTTTGGGGCAGCCCCTCAGATATTGGGCCACAGGAAAGGAAAGGAAAGGAAAGGAAAGGAAAGGAAAGGAAAGGAGAAGGAAAGGAGAAGGAAAGGAGAAGGAAAGGAGAAGGGAAAGGAAAGGAAAAGAAAGGGAAGGAGAAGGGGAAGGAAAGGAGAAGGGGAAGGAAAGGGGACGGGAAAGGGAAGGGAAGGAAAAGAAAGGGAAGGAGAGGGGAAGGAAAGGAGAAGGGGAAGGAAAGAAGGGAAAGGTAAGGGAAGGAAAAGAAAGGGAAGGAGAAGGGAAGGAAAGGAAAGGGAAGGGAAGGGAAGTTTCCCTTCATCAACGAAAGGCTTGTGCAGAGAATTATACTTCTTTGGTTGACAGCTAAAGGTGTGGCTGGAGCTCACTTGGATTTTTAAAACCTGGCAATATTTGCTTCCAGACCGTCTCCCTGTCTCTCTGCAGCTGCTCGTTTGCAGTGGGTGGGATTAATTGTGCGGCTCTCAAAAAGTCCAGGAATTGACCGAAGACTTTGATTCCAACGCTGCTTCTCTTCTTCTTCTTCTTCTTCTTCTTCTTCTTCTTCTTCTTCTTCTTCCCGCTCCACATACAGGCATCCTTGGAAGCGACTACATTAACGCCAACTACATCGACGGGTACCGCAAGCAGAACGCCTACATCGCCACTCAGGGCCCTTTGCCGGAGACCTTTGGTGACTTCTGGCGGATGGTTTGGGAGCAGCGTTCCGCCACGGTGGTGATGATGACAAAGCTGGAGGAGAAGTCCAGGGTGAGGAGGGGGGAAAGGGGGAAATGCAGTCAGTTGGATTGGTGCTCCTGCCTAACTTATAGTGAAGAATAAGAGAGCCAAATGTGGGGTCCTTGTTGCTCTCTGGGCTTGGTTGTTTTCTTGCAGACGTTTCATCACCCAACTAGGTAACATCATGGTCAGAAAAGGGAGTGGGGTTTGCAGAGAGGAGGAAGGAGGGGGCAAGGTTGGAGAGGTGGGGTCTGTGGGATCTTTGGTGAGCTCTGAACTGCTCTCTGTTTTCTTGCAGCCGTTTCATCACCCAACTAGGTAACATCATCAGTGCTGAGCACTAAGCTGCAGGTTAAATCCAAAAATGCCAGGGAATCTCCCGGAAGCTTGGCACTGAGACAAATTAGTCATCAATAGACATTCATGGATAAACCACATTGACACACTGTTCAAAGGAGAGAGGAAAAAAGGCTAAGAAGGAAACAGAAAGAACAAAACAGATTCTCCCCAGGGTGCTACATTCAGATAAACAGAAATTAACACCAGACAAACAATAAAGCAGAAAAGTACACTAGTCAAGGAACTACCAAGGAGAAATACCCACAGCCCCTCCTGCACTGGCATTGTATATAAACAGACATCAAACCCTTCACTCCCTCAGGCTGATGGTGTTACCTAGTTGGGTAATGAAACGTTTCCCAGGAAACAACCAAGCTTAGAGAGCACCCAAGATCTCACAGTTCAGCCCCGAGCTACAAATATTTTCCTCTATAGGTAGCTAAATGTTCCCTTCCAGTTTGGGGGAAAACCGTTAAATACCAACCAAGGGCCTGTGGTTTTTTTTACGTATTGTCATATGTGTAATGCATGTAAAAAGGCACAGCTTTGATCCTGCAGTTGTGTTACCATCTTTACTTCTTCTTTTTTTTAATTTCTGCCCCTAACTTGGGGTCTGGAATGCTTTCGCTTGCCTTATTCCTTCTGCAAGTGGAGAGCTTTTTCTGGTTTGAGGTTGAATCGATTCATTGATTACTCATCGCGCCTCACATGGAGTATGTGTCAATCGTGATATTGATATGTTTATATTTATACGTTATAAATATATTCATATTTACGGCATTGTAATACATTTATTGCGTTATCACCTTGCAGAGGTGAGGCGTACACTGCTGAGAACTGTTTGTCATTAGAGCTGCCTTGAGGCCTTGTAAAATAATTAAAGTAAATAAGCTGATAAAATGAATGAACATGAGGGAAATTTATGGGGTTTTTTTTCTATGCAAGTGCTTAAAAAATTCCTCCCAACTTCTTTGTGTTTTTCTCTACTTTGTTGCCGAATTTTAATGTTTTGGTCTGTCCTTACAGATCTAAGAACGTTGTGATTTATTGACATTTTACCATGTTTTCCCAAAATAAGGTCCTATCTTATAATTTTTTTGGCCACCAAAAAAGGCACCAGGTCTTATTTTGGGGGGATGTCATCCACTGACTAATCTCACTTGCACGCATCACCCCTGGCCTCCATCTTGCTGTCAGAGGCCTTCAGGAACTTCTTCTTCTGCAGCCGATAACAGAGTTTCAGGTCGATCCAGAGCTTTTGTTATCAGCTCCAGAGGCCTTCAGGAAAGCCTTGCCAGCCTTGCTGGCTGCAGAAGAAACGGGCTGGCAAGGCAGGGGTCAGGGTGTGCCAGGCCTGGCTACAGCTGTCCAAAGGTAAGTAGTAGGGCAGCTCCACACATCCCCATCCCCACTTTAGCTTAATTTTTACCTGTGGGTGGGATCTTAATTAGGGCTTATTTTGGGGGTAGGGCTTATATTGGGCGCACGTGTAAAAATCAAGCTAGGATTTACTTTCAGGGTAGGTGGTATTTTCAGGGAAACAAGGTATAAAATGTGACAAATTGATTAGATCGTATCTTCAGTGGGACTGAATAGTTCTGTAATTACAGAAATTACAAAGGAGAAACTTCCAGAATTGATGTGGGATTCAAAATTCAGTTCTCTGGAAATGAGACTTGGAAACCACAAGGCCACCTTCACCCTGAAATCTCAGGAGGGAAGATGACCTGAACTTAAAATTTATTTCAGTGTAGACTTCAGGATTTCACCGTGCCAGATTTTAATTTCTTGTAACCTTTGGCGTGCCTACATAGGAAAGACAGCTAGCTGGTGATCTCTGAATTTTTGTTGGTCAAACATGAGCAAACTCAGCGTATCCTTATGTTTTGTGTTGTTGTTGTTGTTTCTTCATGTTTTTCCAGTGTTTTGGTTGTCGTGTGGGGCTAATACAAATATAATACAACCCATATCTTGATTTTTCTTTTTTCAGATCAAGTGTGACCAGTACTGGCCAGGGCGGGGCACAGAGACTTACGGGATGATCCAAGTGACCTTGTTGGATACCATTGAGTTGGCCACATTCTGTGTCCGCACTTTCTCTCTGCACAAGGTGAGGTCAAAGGCTTCTTTTCTTTTGGCAGGTTTAATATGGAAGAAGAGAGGATGGCTGTCCTTTAAGGACCAGAAGGGTCAGAATTCTTCAGAGCTGGGCTCAGCAGGGAGACCAGGAAGCAAGGAATTTAAAAGGCAGACTTCGGGAGAGTGTTCTGATAGTAAACGCTGCCCACCAATAGGCAAACTGCAGGTCCTTGATTTGCAACCGTTCGTTTAGTCACCATTTAAAGCAGAGGTCTCCAAACTTGGCAACTTTAAGACTTGTGGACTTCAACTCCCAGAATTCTCCAGCCAGCTGGAGCCAGTATACAGCTTACCTGTATATGCTATAGTATCCAGATGATCATTTATTGAAACATTTCCAGAAAAGGAGAGGGAATACCACCTCCCAAGCCATTTCTTCCAGTTGTTATGGTTGAGGTAACATTTATCTATCTGTCTGTCTGTCTGTCTGTATCATCTATTATCTATCTACTCTGTCTGTCTGTCTGTTTTATCATCTCTGTCTATATCACCTATCTATTATCTATCATCTCTTATCTGGCTGTCTATCTACCATCCCTTTCTATCAATCTTATCTATCTTCTTCTGTCTGTCTGTCTGTCTGTCTATCTATTTATTCCCCACCTTTATTATTTTACAAATAACTCAAGGTGGCGAACATACCCAACACATACCTTCCTCGCCCGATTTTCCCTACAACAACCACTCTGAGGTGGGTTGTGCAGAGAGCAGGGTGGGCTGCTATGGGTTCGCCTGGGTTCATAATGAAATGGGAATCTTACTTTAGAACGAATGTTGATTGGATCATGTGATGCGATGATGGCTAAGGGGGAATGGATTTGTAGTTTTGACTTTTGCAAGGAAGCCCGAAACTTTCAGAATCAGGATTCCACAGATGTGCCAGTTACTATCCAAATAAAGGTAGTGTCATGCCCCTCTTGGAATCTGATTCCGAGGGGGAGGTTGAGCAACTGACAGGGAGTGGGAGTGTGGCTCCGGTGGCTGTGGAAGAAACTGGGGAAGGGCACAGTCCGGCTGGGCATTCAAAGGGAGACCCAGGCCCACCCACTCTTCATCCTAGGGCACGCAGGGAGGAACCGAGAAGGGAGCAATGTGAGTTATGGGGGAGAAAAGGGCCCCGATTCCCTTCATTAGCTGCAGCTGGGAAAACAGGATTTAAAAAGGGTGTTTGCGCACAGCACCTTGCTGTGGAAGCAGAGCGTGAATTATCTTTGTTTGTCAAGTCTTATTTGGGTTCTGGCGGCCTCCCAACTGTATGTGTTTCGTTATCTTTTGAAGTCTGCAATTCCTTATCCTGCCCTGTCTCGTTAATTGCTGCAGCGTGGTTTGTGCTGTTTTTTATTTATAATTTATATGTACTTTTGGTTGGGTCTAAATTTCTTCCCTTTAAAAACTGTTCTTGGGAGAGTTTTTTCTCCAGTCGATGATAACTGGACATTGGGGGCTAAGTTGAAGGCATTAAAGGAACTTTACCTACTTTTGTGACTTTGTTGCTTTTGTGCCGCGCCCCATTGGGTCATCACAGGCACCTTTGAGAGATGTCTGTCTCGGAGTTATTGATTGGAATGGAGGGTTGCTGGAATGCTGACATTAGGGGGTCATAAGTCGAGGAGTTGCCTGTATGTGATAGGAACAGCCACCAATTCAGCCTGCGCTTTCATTTGCTTGGAAGAAGTTGCGCGAGGCGAGTGCGTCATGCCGTCTTCCCTTCTGCTCTGCCTCCACAGAACGGTTCCAGTGAGAAGCGTGAAGTTCGCCAGTTCCAGTTCACCGCATGGCCAGATCACGGCGTTCCCGAATACCCCACTCCGTTTCTGGCTTTTCTCAGGAGAGTGAAAACATGCAACCCGCCCGATGCTGGCCCCATCGTGGTGCACTGCAGGTACACACACACACACACACCACCAACCCTTTTGGGACCCCAATTTGGTGTGACGGTACAAGACGAGGATTTATTTTTAGTTATTAAATGTATTTGCTGCCCACCTCATTTCGAAGCGATCCAGAACAAGGTTTGTCTTGGAAAGGAAGGAAGCGGGTGGATCTTTTTGAATCACTTTTACCAGTAAGGACAGGGAGGGAAAATCTCTTGCCCATCGTCCTCTTTGCTACGGGGACTAACAAGACTGGTGGGAGCAGACGGAGGGCCGTAGGTATAGGGTATGATGATGGCCTCTTTCTCAATTGTGCCAGTCTATCCCCCCTGTTCTGACCAAGGCTTCCGAGACTGTAATTAAGCACACGCTTAGTCCAAAAAACTGTTGTTTATTTCAGCACTGGGATATATGTTCATTCCCAGCCCGTAATGAGTCCCAAACAGTCCCTCGAGATAAGCACCCACATTTCTTTCCTTTGAATTGCTGCCAGCAACTAAAGTGCCAAATGAACTGTAAAAAGCCAAACGAAGTACAAAATCCACACAGAGCTTCAAGGATTAATCTGACCACAATGAACAACTTTGCTTCCTGCAAAGGTTTCATCATCTTTGCCTGTCCTTTATCCCTTACGGGAGGGGCAATCACCTCCCAGCCTTACTCCATGAGTCGCCCCTTTTGTCTCAGCTGCTCTCACCTTTTGGCAGCTCTGCACATGCACGCACTGGGAACAGGCTCCCCTTGTTCCTCTGCTTCGCTGCTGCCAGACTCTGGAGGCTCCGGAGTCAGCACCCCACTCCCAGATGGTCCTGGCCCCATCTCTGCATTGGAAGCAGGACCCTCGTCCGAGTCCTCCCCAGACTCCCGGACTGGTCCCCGTTCTTCCCCTGCCGACTGCACAGGCTGACAGCGAACCACAACACCCCCCCCCCCTCCCTGTAATAAGATCCAAACTTTAGTGGTCCTGAAGGCAATATATAGGGCAATATTTTATTCCATGGCAGAAGCTGAATTTCTTTGCTCAAAATGGGGGCCTGAGTATGCAGTTGAATTTAATTCTAATTTGCACGAGGAACAATAGTCTTTACAGGGTGTGGATGAAATCTAACAACTAGGGTCCATTTATCAAACCTTGACAATCAAACGGGATCCAGAGGTGTGTGTTTTATAATTTAAGGAGGACATTCTCATAGAAGTGAGATTTGGAGGAAATTGTCTGTGTGAATATTAACCTTTCCAAATGTAGTCATTCAGGACTGTTCTCTGAGCTTCTTAATAGCGTTCTTTTCTACATCTGACATCTGGGTTGTTGTCGAGGATCAGTCTATTATGCTTCTCCCCGCAAAGCTAGGCTGAAACCAATTAAACGAGCACAGACGAATCCAGGAACTTCCGAGAAGGAATTTATTTATCACAGAAAAGCTATAATCAAAAAAAACAAACCAGGAATTGCTGGGTAGCAAACCAGAGCCCTGTTTATATCGAAGTTTGTTTTCCTCTTACTTGAATTGAGGGACAGACTGGGCACACCCCTCTGTTTCAAGGAGAGGCAAAGTCTCTTGTTTTTGGAAATACACAGATCTAACTGTCAGAATCTAAATTTCGACGAATCAGACCAAACTGCCACCAGGAGAAGAAAAAAAAAGAGGAATTACAGGCAGGGGATGATGAAATTAGAATTAGATGATGGAGGGATTTTTTAATACAAAAAGAAAAGAAACAGCTTCTCAAACACAAAGAAATTTTCAAATCTTCAAATGAACAATGCACTGGTAGCTCTCACCTTTCCGTTGTTAAGCAAGGCAGTTGTTAAGTGAGCGGAGCCTGATTTTATGATCTTTTTGCCCCAAGTCGTTGAGCGAATGACTGCAGTTGTCAAGTCAATCATGTGGTCATTAAGCAAATCCAGCTTCCCCCCTTGGCTTGGTTTGTCGGAAGCAGGCTGGGAAAGTCACCAATGACCCCAGGAAGACTTCAGTCTTTGTAAATACATCCCAGTTGCCAGGCATCTGGATTTTAATTAGGTAACTGTGGGGATGCTAGGACAGTCATGAGGGCGAGGAGCTTTTTTCAGTGCTCTTGTAACTTCAAACAGCTGTTAAGCGAACGGTTGTAATTGAGTTGCAGACTGGGAAATTTCAATAAATTGTTAAATGCTCCTTTCCCCCCCTGCCTCTCTCGCCCTCCGGCACAGAGAAATTGGATGTTCAGTGATCTGCAGTGGAGCATCCAACCCCCCAAAATGTGATTTCTTTTTTTGTTTTTAAAAAAATTGCCCCACCTTTTCTCCCTTTCCTTCAAATGGATTACTCAGGAGTCCGAATGCTTTGGCAGCACACAAACCTAAGGAATACAAGGTAGTACTTGGCTTACAACAGTTCCTTTAGTTCAAAGTTACAACATCACTGTAAAAACTGTTTACTTCAAGAAATAGTTCCAGTTCTTTTTCCATCATTTGCACGTAGTTCTTTTCTTTTAATACTCTTTGATTTAGGGTCCATCTTCTTCTCTTTCCTTGTCCCTTCCACTTTTAAGAGGGATACAGTCAAGATCAAGGGAAGTACTAATACCACTCTATAAAGCCTTAGTAAGACCACACCTAGAGTACTGCATCCAGTTTTGGTCACCACATTATAAAAAAAGGTTGAGACTCTAGAAAAAGTACAGAGAAGAGCAACCAGGATGATTAGGGGACTGGAGGCTAAAACATACAACAAACGGTTGCAGGAACTGGGCTTGGCTAGTCTAGTGAAGAGAAGGACCAGGGGAGACAGGAGAGCAGTCTTCCAATATTTGAGGGGCCGCCACAGGGAGGAAGGAGTCAAGCTATTTTCTAAAGCTCCTGTAGGCCAGACAAGGAACAATGGATGGAAACTGATCAAGGGGAGATTTAACCTGGAAACAAGGAGAAACTTTCTGAAAGTGAGAACAATCAACCAATGGAACAGAAGTTGCCCTCGGAAGTTGTGGGAGCGCCATCAGTTGAGACCTTCAAGAAGAGATTGGACTGCCCTTTGTCAGAAATGGTGTAGGGTCTCCCGCTTGGGCGGGGGGTTGGACTGGATGACCTACAAGGTCCCTTCCTTGCTGCTGCCACAAGGTGAGGACAGAGGAGCTGCTCACGCTCCCCGCACCGGCTTACCTCAGGGCCCCCGCAACCAGGACATCCATGGCCCCGACACCTTCCTTGCCTCACGGCGGTGACTCCAGCAATCCCATCCAGCAAGACTCCGTGGGCTGCCAGCCCACTACTTCTGGCACCAGCGCAGCACCAGAGTAGGAGGCCGAGTCACGAGATGAGGCAGGGATGTGTGGAGCTGCCCCACACCAGCTTACCTCAGGGACCCAGCAGCCAGGCCATCCATGCCTCACCCTAATCCACAATGCCTAACTTTAGCCCTACCCCTTCACACACACACACACACACACACACACACACAAAACCACAGGGCAACCACAATGCTGATATACAACAATCTACATTTATTCAAATACAGTCATGTCATCTTCTTCTGGAACATTGTCATATAACCCTCCAAAGCCTGAACTTCAGCCTGATTTTTTTTGCAATTCCATTTCCAGTAAAACCATTGGCCCCACTCTCATGTCTAGCAACAGAGGTCTCCTGAAATGAGCCCCTCTTGTCCGTGTAGCCAGCTCGTAGCGCATTGGCAACACAGGTGTCCATGATTTTATCCCATGAATTCTTCGCCCACGTCACGACCTCTGGCAGGCTAGGCTTCACAAAGTTTCCACGCTCATTTCTCTCCATTCTGTGTTCCATGTAGTCATTGATTTCCATGTGCAAATGGTCCTTGAATGGCTTATTTATCGCGATATCAAGAGCCTGGAGATGGGCTGTCATTCCTGCAGGGGTCATTATTTCATCTATTCTTCTCTCTGCAAGGAACTCCTTCATACCACAGAGAGGAGGTAAGGGGTCAAGCTATTTTCTAAAACACCCGAAGGCCAAACAAGGAATAATGGATGGAAACTGAACAAGGAGAGATTCAACCTGGAAATAAGGAGAAACTGTCTGACAGGGAGAACAATCCACCCATGGAACAGAAGTTGCCCTCAGAAGTTGTGGGAGCGGCATCACTTGAGACTTACAAGAAGAGACTGGACTGCCATTTGTCACAAATGGTGTAGGGTCTCCTGCTTAGATGGGGGGGGTTGAACTAGATGGCCTACAAGAGCCCTTCCAACTCTGATTATCTGTATCTGGGGCTGTGGTCTGCCCAAACATTTGTCATTATATCCATTTCTTCTATGTCCCTTCTCAATTCCGGGTTCATCCAGACCATATCAATTCTTTACCAGGAGTTATGAGGATTTGAAAAAACATGTGTATTGAGTCTTCTTTGGGTTTAACTCTCGCCGTACATTCATGTGATTGTGGGATGCTGCAAATCGCTGTAAATATGGTTGAGTTGCTGAGTGCCTACTGTCAGGATTCCACCAGCTACCCCCATTTAAAATTATGAGTCTCGAGCTAAACTTCCAAAACTTAAAAAGGATTTATTGGGAGTTAAACTGTCCGGCACCACCTGGGTATAGCCAAGTCTGAGACACATAATTCTTTTTTTTTTTTTTTAAATAAAAAAAGTTTCCAAATTTAAGTTTCCAAATTTTAAAAAACATAAAACAAAACTTTATACATTGTTATCAACATCAAGACATCTTTTGCATTTCCGCACATTTTTCAGTATATGTATTTACTTATTCCTTTACCATTGCTGAGACACATAATTCATTGTCACCCTTGACCCTGGTTTTCCCCCCACCCTCTGGGTGTATCGTAATTCATATCCTCCAGTGGGACACATCCATAGCCAAGAATCATCCAATCATGCTCTCCAGTTAGAATTTTGCCAGCAGAAACTTCAGTCACCCAGTTACTGTCTTTGAAAACTATTTATGGAATTCACTTTCATTTTGCAAGCTGCTGTACTGCTCCCCCTCCCTTTCTGTTGGCAACTCTAAAAAGACCATACAAATATTTTATGAGTTGACACAGAGATCTGATGATCAATTTTGGTCGTATAAGTCGTGGACTACCCGTAATAACAACTAGAATGGAGCGGGAACGTCCCCACTGCAGCCTCCATCCCCCTCTGCACCTTATCCTGTTCGGGAAGCTGTGAAATACAGGTGAAATGCACCGGGAAGCACCCTGTGGCACTGATAAGTCAGTCGGTGTGCCTCCCTGCCTTGTGCTCCCTCCCTGGCACACACGCTTGCATCTCCGAGAATGACAATCCAACCAATTTCTTGTGAAACATAAACCCTGGAGCTACCGGTTTGTTGATTTCGCCCAGTGTTACACTTTCCTGACGGATATAAGTCAAACAGATCGCCTGCTCTGCCCCCAAGTCACTTCTGGCTTTCAGATCAGACAGCAGGAGGTCACTGGATACAGACATAGAGATGTCAACCTAAAAAAATGATTTTTTTCCCTGAAGCACCACACATAAACATCCCCGGTTACGGGGCCAGGCTGAGTTCTGAAAAGGCCTGATTTATCCCCATATAGGTAATCCTTGACGTACAAGGATTCATTTAGTGGCTGTTTTTTTCTGACCAAGGCCTCCTGAGACTGTAATTAAGCACACGCTTAATCAAAATAACTCTTGTTCTATTTCAACGCTGGGAATTATTTTCATTCCCAGCCCGTAATGAGTCCCAAACAGTCCCTCGAGATAAGCACCCACCTTTCTTTCCTTTGAATTGCTGCCAACAACTAAAGTCCCAAAGTAACTATAAAACCCAACCAAAGTACAAAGTCTACACAGAGCTTCAAGGTTTAATCTGAACAGAACGAACGATATTGCTTCCTGCAAAAGTTTCTCTACCTTTGCCTGTCCTTTATACCTTAGGAGAGGGGCAATCACCTCCCAGCCTTACTCCCGAGTCATCCCTTTTGTCTCAGCTGCTCTTGCCTTCTGGCAGCTCTGTGCACACTCACACTGGGAACAGGCTCCCCTTGTTCCTCTGCCTCGCTGCCGCTGTACTCTGGAGGCTCTGGAGTCAGCACTTCACTCCCAGATGGTCCTGGCGCCATCTCTGCATCGGACACAGGACCCTCATCTGAGTCCTCCCCAGACTCCTGGACTGGTCCCCGTTCTTCCCCACTGGCGAACCACAACACTGTTCGAAGTTACAACAGCACTAAAAAACAGTGACCGGCGGACATTTTTCAGACTTTAATGCCCCTTGCAGTGTTCCCCGTGGTCATGGGATCGAAATTTGGACGCTTGGCGACTGACCCGCATTTATGACATTTGCAGTATCATACGATCCCCTTTGGCAATCAAAGTCAGTAGGGAAGCCAGATTCACTTACTCAGCCAGGTTACTCACTTAATAACTGCAGTGATTCACTTAACAACCGTGGCAAGAAAAGGTCGTAAAAGTGGGACAAAACTCAACTGTCTGGCATGGCAGTGGAAATTTTTGGGCTGAATTGTGGTCGTAAGTCAAGGATTACCTGTATTTCTACAGATGACCTTGATCCATCTACTACCACCTTAGGAGGCAGGCATAACGGAAGGACCCTATAACACCCCTTAAGATCATAAATACGACGCCTGTTCTACCAGAGGTTTAGCATGCATTGCATTTCCACCTCTGTTCTTAGCCATTGAATGAATTTAATTTGGAATAAACACACTGACGATTCCAGGTTGGCTAATCTGGTTAAGTATCTTATGACTTTGTTTCCCTGGGGTGGAGTTAACAGCAAGAGGCGAGGCATATAAATTTAATAAATGAATAAACACAAACCATCAGGAATTCCAAGGAAGAAGGGTAGAAATTACATAGCCACCATTTAGCCAAGGGAATTATAGGAAGCTCACTTCCCGTTATTCAGGATGCTGCTTATAAGTGCTATGTGCTTAGAGCTCAAAGCATTGTTAGAGACCCCACACACCCACTCCATGGTCTGTTTCTGTTGCTCCACTCTGGGAGGAGGTTTCGAAGTATCTATAGTAGGATTACCAGATTCTGTAACAGCTTTGTTCCCTATGCCATCCGCCTGGTAAACTCGCGAGATTCGTGCTTCTCGCCATGTACATGTATCCCTCTGAACTAGACCGTGTTGTTTCTTTGTGCCATATAACATATGTGCATAATTTGGGTATGTGCCTAATTTTATATTTATTTATTTATTCTGTCGTGGTTATATAGTGTATATTGGAGGTGGTGACCCTTTGAGAGCTGGAGGCCACAAACTTTCTGGTTTTTCTTTGAAGGCGTTTCGCTTCTCATCCAAGAAGCTGCTTCAGCTCTGGCTGGATGACGGGGAATGGAAGGGTTTATACTCCTTGCAGACATAGCTGGTCATTTGCGTTCTTTGAAAGAGTCACTGAGGCCACTTGGAGGTTTTATCTGTGTCCTCAGGGTCACCTGAGTGGTGCAAATGGGTGTGGAGGCTTCTTGGAACTGCTGAAAGGACCGTGTTGTAGACTGGAGGTAGATGATTTTGTATCCCTCTTTTGAGAGGGGGCTGTTCAATTTTGACAGGTGGCCTCCATGGCTCTTAAAAGAATGCAAATGACCAGCTGTCTGCAAGGAGCATAAATGCTTCCCTTGCCCATCATCCAGCCAGAACTGAAGAAGCTTCTTGGATGAGAAGCGAAACGTCTTCAAAGAAAAACCAGAAAGTTCATTTGCTTCTTGAAAAAGCACCTTTAGGACAACCATGACCTGGATGCCTGAGAATCTCCATAGACATGTATGCAATGAAATTTCATTTTAATGTATGCTGATGTCAGCTGGTGCTCCATTCAAAATCCAATAAAGAAAAATACTTAAAGACTCCCTTAATTAGAGAAAAGATATATTTTACTGGAAGTCAAGTGGTAGCAACAAAAGAATTCTGAATCTGAGAAAATGGGCGCGTAAATCACATATACAAAGTGATGGCAACGTTCCCACCCCCAATAGTTCAATTGGCTCATCCAATTAAAAGTTGTGCATAGCATCATGTGGGCACCTCCAGGTGGTGATGAGGCCTCTGTCCGTTGACCTTGACATATTTTGATAAAGAGTTGCGGCTGCACATAGGATAGAAGCCTAAGCAAGAATCTCCCCCCCGCCCCCGCAACTTATACAGTTCCAGCTCGCTTCCCATAGCCATGTCCCCCCTCCTCCCCCCGTTACTTATGACAGCCGAAAGATGCAAAGCAAAGGAAGAAAACCTTGAAGGCTGACAGCCGATTAGTGTACATTCAAAGTGACAATACAGTTATTCTAAGTCTAATTTAGATGAAGGATTTCTTTAATCCCCGATATATATATTTTCCTCCACCCCACTCCTATTTTTAATTCCTGCAGTGCTGGGGTGGGTAGGACCGGCTGCTTCATCGTCATCGATGCCATGCTGGAGAGAATAAAACACGAGAAGACGGTGGACATTTACGGGCACGTCACCCTCATGCGGTCCCAGCGAAATTACATGGTGCAGACAGAAGACCAATACAGTTTCATACACGACTCCTTGCTAGAAGCCGTCGCCTGTGGGAACACGGAGGTCCCCGCTCGGAACCTGTACACCTACATCCAGAGGTTGGCACAGATAGAAGTGGGAGAGCACGTCACAGGCATGGAGCTGGAGTTCAAGGTGAGCAGAGGTCCAGGGGTGCGGGGCCCAGGCAGTTACAACTGTCTTGTTTAGCAACGGAAACTCTGGTCTCCCTTGTGGTTGTAAGTCGAGGACTATCTGTACTTAGAGGGGGAAAGCTTTTGCTTTGGATTCAGAAAGTCTTATGTCTTACTATATACCAGGAAAATAGAAAGACATCCAGGTGGGAGTGTGAATTGCAGAATTCTCCATTGGGGTGGAGAATTGAATATATATATAGACTATATTCAATTAATGTAGCATTTCCCAGCCTGGGTGATTTCCAGACACGTAATTTGAACTTCAAAAATATGTCAGCCATAGCCAAGCTGGTTGGGGAACTCTGGGAGTAGAAACACACAGGTTTAAGGCTGACCATCAATGCCCAGAATCCAGCTGGCAAATTTTAAGCACGACCTATATAACAGTGTCCCACATAGAAAGGTCCAAGGACACATCTTTAGAGCAATGTTCCACTTGGAGAATTCTAAGCGGAGGCCATGTTGAATTCTGGGAATGGAAATCTGTGTGTCTTTAGGGAAAACTTCCAGCTCCCAGAATTCTCAGCAGTAGCCATGCTGGCTGGGGAATTCTGGGAGTTGAAGTCCATACATCTAGCGAGTGAGCATTAATTCCTGGAATCTTCCAACAATGGCCACACTAAATGGGGCATTCTAGGAGAGGAGGCCCACTCAGGTGACCTGCTTCCCTCTCACCCACCTGTGCTCCTTTTCCTCTGCCAGAGACTCGCCAACTCCAAAGCCCACACCTCCAGGTTCATCAGTGCCAACCTGCCCTGTAACAAATTCAAAAATCGCCTTGTCAACATCATGCCATACGAGACCACACGGGTTTGCCTCCAGCCTATCCGCGGAGTCGAGGGCTCCGACTACATCAATGCCAGCTTCATTGATGGATACAGGTAAAGACCCCAGGAAGAGGCGGGGCGGATACCCGATTCCTTTGTCTCTTCCTGTTCTCTATTCTGGCTGCCAATCAGAATAGATGATGTGCTATGATATTGTACGTTAGAGGTGTGCACGTGTGTGACTTCTGTAGAACTTTTCTACAGAATGCACTGGCCCACTTCTTATTCTTTGCCTCTATTCCTTCTGAATATTAAGCCTAAATAGGCAGGGAAATTGTTTGCAAATTCCAAGTGGCCCACAAGAATTTCCGGCTCCTATTCTGTTGAGTTGCCACCGGAATACATCTTCAATCTCCTTTTGGCATCAAGGCCCCGTGATCACTGAACTGCAGAAATTTAGGGGACCATGAGTGACAGTAGAGAGAAACCCAAAAATAAATGGCTCTTTGCCTCCACCTAGTGCTCACCTGGCTCTCTGCAGCCCAACATTATGTGTCCTAAATTAGAGCTGCGAAAAAAAACAATGTCTTTGAATTTGGAAAATAAATAGTTCCTTACCAATACGAGAGAATATCCGTAGCTCAAGGCTGAACTATGGGAACCATGGTTGCTCTCTAAGCTTGGTGGTTGTTGTTTTGCAGATGTTTCATTACCCAACTAGATAAGATCATCAATGCTAGGAGGGGAGTAGGGGTTTGTGGAGTAGAGGAGGAGAAGGAGGAGGATGGGCAGTGCACTGATGATGTCACATACTTGGGTCATGAAACATCTGCATAGGAAACCAACCTCAGAGAGCAACAAGGAGCCCACAGATAAGCTCCTTATTTCTGCGTATCGAGTTTCTTCTGACATTTGATGGAGGTTGGCTTTCTAGTTAACGTGCCAACGTTAGATCTTGCAAGGCTGAAGTTTGAGAAGCGTTTAGCATCCATTCTTCAACCCGGGAGGGGTTGGAAGGGTTACCAGAAGCCCATCCCTTACTGCTTTGTTCTCTGGGGCTGGTGGGTTTAAGAGGACGAGCCCACCTCTGCTATCCAAACTTGGCCTGGGTCTCGTGGTTGCCTTCCCCTGTTCCGGACTGTCATGGGACCCACCTTCATTTGCACTTCAAGGCCACCTTGCCTCCTTAGCTCGCCTTCCCAATAGGGTTGGTTCCCTTTGCTCCTTCCTACAGGCAGCAGAAGGCTTACATCGCCACCCAGGGGCCTTTGGCCGAGACCACAGAGGACTTCTGGCGCATGCTGTGGGAGAACAACTCAACCATTGTGGTGATGTTAACCAAGCTGCGAGAGATGGGACGGGTAAGTGGGACATCTCTGGCTTGTTGGTGCTTCATTTTGAACCCCGGAATGCTGGGTGAATGTCCTTGGAATGGCAGGCTTTGATTTCCAGGGTGTTTTTCATCCCAGGCAACGGATTAGTAGCGTAGATGGAGAGGCTCAATTTCTCATCTTGATGTGTCTGAAAAAGGGCACCGGGGGGGGGGGGGGTGGTGGCGCTCCTGCTGCTGGGGGGGGGGGGGGACCCTTTTCTTGCCGAAACTCCTGGCTGCCAACAGCTGTTTGAATATAGCCCCATCCATACACAGCTAGAAATGCACATGAGGAATCCCTCAACTTAAATCTCGGATTAGATGACAGCCAAGTTTGGACTATTAGGAAGATAGCAGGAAAATCAATGGTGTAGCTCATGCACGGCATGTTGGCAGCCCTACTAAGAAACAGCTGTGTGTTTGGGGTTAGCAATAGCAGTTAGACTTATATACCACTTCATAGTGCTTTACACCCGCTTCAAAGTGGTTTGCAGAGTCAGCCTCTGGCCCACAACAATCTGGGTCCTCATTTTATTGACCTCGGAAAGATGGAAGGCTGAGTCAACCTCGAGCCAGTCAGGATCAAACTCCAGGCTGTGGGCAGCCTGCAAGTGCTGCATTTTAACCACTGTGCCATCAGGGCTCATTGGTAGCCTCTGTCCCTGTGGCCGAGGGGCTAAAGAGAGGATGATGATGATGACAAGGAGAAGGAGAGGAGGAGGAGAGGAAGAAGAAGAAGAGAAGATGATTTTCTTAAAATTCTAATTTTAGCGCTCAAAGGGAACGCACATTCAGGCAGTTGGCTTTGAAGTAGGCAAGTCCCTTGAGGGAATTTTATTGCATGAAATATCTCAGTGCAAAGCTCATGCAGGTAGGGCCTGGGTTGGTTTGTTCTTTTTTTTTTTGCCAGTAGCAAGTGAGCTTCTTCCTCCTCTGTTGGTCCACAGGAAAAGTGCCATCAGTACTGGCCGGCCGAGAGGTCTGCGCGATACCAGTACTTTGTGGTGGACCCCATGGCTGAATATAATATGCCTCAATACATCCTCCGAGAATTCAAGGTCACCGACGCCAGGGTAAGTCAAATGCCCGTACCAGCTTTCCAGGACCAGACGGTGCTCCAGTGTTGGGAAAGGAATTGGTGCTGAATGCAGATGATCGGGTTGAGCCATAGATCAGGCTGAGTCCACCTGTGTTATGGATCAGTTGGGCTTTGTGACTGTCATCAGTGAGATTCCCCGAGGAGGAAGATCTCTTAGGGATTTGGGCATCCTCTCTCTGGCCCCCCCACAGGACAGATAAGTGGGATTCAAATTTTTTAACTACCAGTTCTGTGGATGTGGCTTGGTGAGCTTGTATGGCTTGATGGCCGTGGCAGGGGAAGGATACTGCAAAATTCCCCCTTCCCTTCCAACCCCATTAACCTGCTTTCCAGCTCCATTCTCCTGTGCAGGGCAACCAAAGAAAACCAAGCCAATTAGCTGGGACTCAATGGGAGGCCGAGAATAGGTGGGGGTGGGGCCAGTCAGAAGCGGGATTTGCAGTTCTCCGAACCCCTCAAAATTTTCGCTACCGGTTCTCTAGAACCGATCAGAACTGGCTGAGTACCAACTCTGGTTACAGCCTGAACTTTTTTATTTTTACACACTTGGTAAATACGAGCTGTTCCTCCAACCACAGACCACAGGGAAAGCCATTCATTCAGTGACCGTCTGAAGTCACAACGGCCCTGAAAAAAGTGACTCGTGACCGTTTTTCACACTTAACGACTGTTGCAGCCCATCCCTATATGGTGGCATGAACAAAATTTGAACACTTGGCAACTGGTTCCCATTTACGATGGTCGCAGTGTCCCCGGGGTCATGTGATCCCCTTTTACAACCTTTTGACCAGCAAAGTCGATGCTGAAGCCGGATTCACTTTTAACAACGGTGTTGCTAACTTAACAACTGCAGTGATTCACTTAACAACGGTGTCAAGAAAGGTCGTAAAATGGGGCAAAATTCACTTAACAACTGTCTTGCTTAGCAACCGAAGTTCCAACCTCAAATGTGGTTGTAAATCAAGGACTACCTGTAATCTAATCAGCCCATCCTAAAGTCAAGGTTTCATATTTTTTTCCCCGTCTCGAACACAAAGGCTAGAAGCGGTTTCCAAGCAGAAACTTGCCTGAAATGCTGCACAGCTCAAGTAATGTATCCCCCCCCCAGTGGATGATGGTCAAAGCAGTTTACAAATACTAAAAGTACCATCTGCCTAGGTGGCGCAGCAAAGTTCTGAAAATAGCTCACGCATTATCTGCACCCTCGCCACACATTTAAGGTTAGGCCTTCTGCTTTCATATTAGAATTAGAATTCTTTTTTATTGGCCAAGTGTGATTGGACACACAAGGAATTTGTCTTCGGTGCAAATGCTCCCAGTGTACATAAAAAAAGAGATACATTCGTCAAGAGTCAAGAATCATAAAGTACAACACTTAATAAATAGTCATCGGGTACAATAAGCCATCAAATCATACTAGGAAGCAGTCCATATAAATCATAAGGATACAAGCGACAAAGTTATAGTCATACAGTCACAAGTGGGAGGGGATGGGTGATAAGGAGTGATGAGAAGATTAATAGTAATAGTAATGCAGACTTTGTAAATAGTTGGACAGTGTTGAGGGAATTATTTGTTTAGCAGAGTGATGGCGTTCAAGGGGAAAACCTGTCCTTGTGCCTAGTTGTCCTGGTGTGCAGGGCTCTATAGCCTCGTTTTGAGGGAAGGAGTTGAAACAGTTTATGTCCAGGGCGTGAGGGGTCTGTAGATATTTTCACAGCCCTCTTTTTGACTCCTGCAGTATACAGGTCCTCGATTGAAGGCAAATTGGTAGCAACTGTTTTTTTCTGCAGTCCTAATTATCCTCTGGAGTCTGTGTCTGCCCTGTTGGGTTGCAGAGCCAAACCAGACGGTTATAGAGGTGCAGATGATAGACTCAATGATTCCTCTGTAGAACTGGATCAGCAGCTCCTTGGGCAGTTTGAGCTTCCTAGTTGGCACAGAAAGAACATTCTTTGTTATGCTTTTTTGATATACAGGTCTCTCTGTGTGACCATCTAAAATAAAGAATAAGTTTCTTTTTTTTTTCTTTTATTATAGCATGATTATCCAACCCTCCCTGATCTCACTTTATAACTGATCATCACTTTTGTTTCAACAAGACAATTCTACAGGGAGATCATTCAGAATGGACGAAAAGATTAAACATATTTTCTAGTTCACCTGTTCCCATGGGTTTCATTGGTTTTTCTTCAAAATTACACCACTGCAAATGCATAATCCACCCCACATCCCTCTTCCTAAACTCCCTTTTATTCCATTTGCATGAATTCTGCTATGAAATCATCAACCACCCCCTGTGCTTTCTCTCTCTCAGTTGGTTTAATTCTTTCAAACGTGTTTCCAAGGTTTTTCCTGCTTCTGGAGGACGTGAAAAGCCACCTGTGCCTTTCTCTCTCTTTCTCTCTCTTTTTTCCCCCTCCCTCCATGCTGTGTCACCCTGACCGTTGCACCATTTTTAAAAAAATCATTACGTTTGTCTCCTGCTCCTTAAAGAAACGCGGGGAGCCCCGCCTGAGCCATCGGCGTGACGCAGCCCCAAAATTCAGCAGTTGCTGAGATTTAAGGGTACCACCTTCTCCAACCCTGAGTGTCAGCCTCGCGCCGGACTTGGGAGGTAGCCTAAATTGGAGCGAGGATGTCTTGGCTAGGTCACCGTTGAGTTTGCAGCTAAGGAGGGATAGAAACTGGACCTTGGGGTGGTTTGCCAGAGCCTCAGATTGAGACTTTAGTTCCTTAGTTCACAAATCCTCAGATATTTTTATATTTCCCCCCCTGGATTTGCCTCTCCTTCTTCGATGGCATCCCTTTCTTTTGATGCTTCTGCTTTGGTGTGCTGGCTTTTTTTTTTTTTTAAAGGCACATAAAAAGGGGTTCGGCACTCGTTTGTTGATAGAGTGTGTTGAGTTTTCTGACACACACACCCACAACACACCCACACACACCCCCGTGGCTACCCCTCAAATTCCTAACCTGGGTTTCAAAAATCTTAACAACAGGTTCTCTGCCCGGTTGCTGAGTGGGCGTGGCCATGGTGGGCGTGGCCTACTCAGCCTCCTGAACCTTGGCAGTGGGGGGCTTTTTCGCCCTCCCCGGGCTCTGGACATTTTCCTCAGGTCTCCGGGTGGGTGAAAATGGGCTCCCCGGGCTCCGGAGCCTCTCTGGAAGCCAGAAGCGGGCCCATTTCCAGCCTTCCCGAACTTCTGGTTGGCCTGTTTTTCAGCCTCCCTGCGCCCCCTGCATTTACCTGCATCCAAAACAGGCCATGTGGGGACTCCGGGGAGGGGAGGGGAGGGGTGGGTGGGGTTGGCCAGCCAGGAGTGGAATTTGGGAGGGGTCTCCAAACTGCACAGAATCTTAGCTAGGGGCTCTCCTGAACCCCTGAGAACCTTCAGCAGCCCAGCCCTGATTTACCTACAAGTTTATGTAGAGTATTGATCTGACCAGCTAACCTAAATAAAGTGACTCTGGGCAGCTTACAAGGGAAAACAAACCAAGTTTAAAGCAGCGATCGATAACCTCAATAATGGGCCAGCTGGCTCGCCATTGTCTGATGATGAGCGCTTGGCTCATCCTGATTCCAATCCCAGGGGAATAACCCAAGTTTTTAAAACTTTTCTAAATGCCAGCAAAATCAGGGCATGTTTTGTGGATGGAGCCAATGAACGTTCTTGGATAAGGATTGAGATAAACACACACACACATAGACACCACTCAAGAAATAAACTTTATTTGCACTGGACAAGCAAAAACCACACAGAAGCCTCCAGGACAGGTAGTTCTTGATTTACGGCCACAATTGGGGTTCGTATTTCCATTGCTATGTAAGGCAATTGCTAAGCGAGCCGTGCTCGATGTTGCGACCTCTTTTGCCGCCGTTGTTAAGCAAATGGCTTCAGTTGTTAAGTGAAACAGATAGTCGTTAAGCAAATCTAACCTCCTCCGCTGAGGTTTTCTGTCGAAAGCTGACTGGGAAAGGTCGCAAGTGATGAACCCATGAACTTTGGGATGCTGCAGCTGTCATCAGTACAGGTAACCAAGCGCCCAAATTTTCATGACGCGTCTGTGGGGATGCTGCGATGGTTGTAAGTGTGAGGACCAGGCATAAGTCATTTTTTTCAGTGCTGTTGTAACTTTGAATGGTTGCTAAACGAATGATCGTCAATCAAGGGCTGCCTGCAAGTTTTGAGAACTTACTTACTTCGCTCTGCTCTGCCAGTTCTGTTTTTAACACCTTCCATTTTGGCCTTTTTTTTTTTCTTTTATTTCCAGGACGGCCAGTCTAGAACCGTGCGTCAGTTCCAGTTCACGGACTGGCCAGAACAAGGTGTGCCAAAATCCGGCGAAGGCTTTATCGATTTCATTGGGCAGGTGCACAAAACTAAGGAGCAGTTTGGACAAGACGGGCCAATTTCCGTCCACTGCAGGTACGTGCGGCCAAAAAAGAGGCTGGACTGCCCCCTGTCAAAAAGGGTGCGGGGTCTGCTTGGGCAGGGGGTTGGACTAGATTACCTACAAGGCCCCTTTCAACTCTGTGGATCTGTAAACTATTTTAAAAGTGGGGCTGCCAGTCCACTTTGCTTTGCTAGCCCTCTGCCAGCGAAAATGGGGAGACCGCACTCCCTCCGGCAGGGGCACCGCAGGCCGGTGCTTCACTGTTTCCAGGGCCAAATCTAAGCACCGTGTGGGGCGGATTCAGCCTGTGGGCCTTGAGTTTGACACCCCTGGTTTAGATAAAAAGCTAAGGTGTCCATAACAGGGGAAGAAGGTCATAAACGAGGTTGGCTGTAATTGTGCGAGCAAAGCAAGGTTTTGGTTTGTGTGATCCCAGCTCCCCTCTCACCACCTGGACCCTGCAGATGGCTCTGGACAGGCCCAATCCCTGGCCGGATTTTCTCCCTCCATTCTTCGCCCCGGACTCGAGCTGAAAAACTGGGCCGTTCCCATGGCAGGAAGTCCCAGCTTTCTTTCAAATGGAGCATCTCTCCCCAGCGGCGGATTTCATTTTTGCACAACGGGCATCGCTGACCTCCTTACCACTCTCTGTACGCGCAGACCGTTAGTCCCCCCGCGAGTTTCAGTATTTCCATCCTGGGAGCTCAAATCATATTATTGGGCTGTTCTGTTCTGCTCCTTCGCTTCCCCTCTGCCCACTTCCCCTAAAATATAAAAGGTGAGCAGCTTTTAGTCCTGATTTCAACGCTCACCTGCAGATGAGCAAACAAAGCCCTTCCTCCATCCGTTTCCTTTCTTCGCGAGGCTTGTTAATTGATAAAGGATTTTCTTTGTAGAATGGAGAGGAACTAACTGGCTAAATAGCCCATTCAATGGTGAGATGTTGACCTCCTGGTAAATTGCAAAGCTTTAAATTCTGTTTTTCTACAACTCTGGGGAATAGAGAGATTAGAGCAAATTGCTGTTTACCGATCGAGGAGAATTGGTAGCTCAGGGTTTGAACCGTGGGGTCTTTGGTGCTCTCTGGACTTGGTTGTTTTCCGGTAGATGTTTCATGACCCGAATAGGTAGCATCATCAGTGCTACAAGGGGGTGGGGGGATTGTACAGAGGAGCAGAAAGAGGACAAGGACAAAAAAGAAGAGGAGGAGGAGGAAGAGGACTGTGAGGCTCTTGGTGCTCTCTGAGCTTGGTGGTTTTTTTTGCATGTTTCATGACCCAACTAGGTAACATCATCAGTACTAGAAGGGAGAGAGGGGTTTGTGGGAAGAAGAAGGAGGACTATGATGTCCTTGGTGCTCTCTGAGCTTGGCTGGTTTCTTGCAGATGTTTCATGACCCAACTAGGTAGCATCATCTGTGCTAAAAAGGAGTGTGGTTTGTGGAGAGGAGGAGGAGGAGGAATGTGGTGCCCTTGGTGCCCTCTGAGCTTGGTTGGTTTTGTGTGTGTGTGTGTTGCAGATATTTCACTATCCAAGTAGGTAACATCATCAGTGCTAGATGGGAGTAGGGTTTGTGGAATGGAGGAGGAGGAGGAGGAGACTAGGAAGGGGTCCTTGGTGCCCTCTGAGGTTGCTTGTATTCTTGCAGACGTTTCATTACCCCATTAGGGAGCATCATCAGTGCTGGAAGTGGGGGTGGCATTTGTTCTCTTTTTATATAGCTTGTCCTGTCAGCGTCAGTGGGAATGTTCTTCCAGATATTTCATCACCCAGCTAGGTAACATCATCTGCGCTAGAAAGGGAGTGGAGTTTGTGGCGAGGAGGAGGAGGAGGAAGACTGTGGGGTCTTTGTTGCTCTCTGAGCTGGGTAGTTTTCTTGCAGACGTTTCATGACCCAACTAGGTAACATCACCAGTGCTAGATGGGAGTGACCAGGTCACATTGGTCTCTGTTTACCTTTCCAGTCCAAAAGTATTCACAAAAGCCTCTTGGGAAACACAGAACCCATCCACCTTTTTCCTAAGATACCCCAAAAGGTGGGGTGCCCTCATAGCTTCCGGAAGATAAAATCCTCCAGATATTGCTTGCTAATCTACGATTAAAGCTTTCGGTCATGACGCATCGGCAGGCAGATGAAGGATTCTCTGCTTAGGCCGGTGGGATTCCACCTTAGCCCCGAGAGACGTGTCGCGTGGGTGGAGGACAGCATCTGGTTCTCTACCTCTGCCCCTGGCTGGCTAAAGCTGGGGAAACCTTGCAAATCCAGCCAAGGAACCGGCACCGGGGGGAAGTTGATACGCTGCTGTAGCTCCTCCATACAGGTTTGCAGGTCCGCCACTTCCGATTCGCTCTCCGTTCTTCTTTGTAAGCCAGCTGCTTTCCCTTGGCATCTCCTGCCTCAAATGGGGAGGGGGGCGGAGGACTCCGGTTGTGTGAGCAGCAAGCATACGTAACGGCTTCCCAGAAGCTGTCCTGGCCAAAAGGTGAGAGACCCTTTGCATGTGTTGATTTATTAAATTTAGATCCCAACCATCTCATTCTGAAAAGCTACTCTGGGCAGCTTAACAGTTAAAATGCTGGGTTGTTTTTATTTTTTATCCTTTTAAATAATAGAATAATATAGGTCTTCTACTCCAGCCGCCTGCTCAAGCTGGAGAGCCTAAACCATTTCAGACAAGTCCAACCTCTTAAAACGTTCAGTGTTGGAGCATCTACAACTTCTGGAGAGAAGCTGTCCCACCGGTTAATTGTCCTCACCGTTAGAAAGTTTCTCCCTAATTCCAGGTTGCTTCTCTCCTTGGTTAGTTTCCCTCCGTTGCTTCTTGTCTTGCCTTTCTGGTACTTTGGAAAATAGGTTGACTCCCTCTTCTTTGGGGCAGCCCCCCTCAAATATTGGAAGACTGATATCATGGCAAGACAAGGAATAATGGATGGGAACTGCACAAGGAGAGATTCAACCTGGAAATAAGGAGAAACTTGCTGACGGTGAGAGGAATCAACCCATAGAACAGAAGTTGTGGGAGCTTCATCACTGGAGGCTTTCAAGAAGAGACTGGACTGCCATTTGTCAGAAAGGGTGTAGGGTCTCCTGCTTGGGCTAGGACGGCTAGATGACCTATAGTAGGACTAGATGACCTATAAGGTCCCTTCCAACTCTGATTATCTGTTATCATGTCACCCCTAGTCCCTCTTTTCTCTAGAGCAGTGATCCCCAACCTTTTTTATGCCGCGGCCCGGTACCGGCATCAGCTGGGCGCTGCCATCTTTTTTTGATGAAAAAGTGCTTCCGGTGAGCTTTCTACCCGGAAAAGCTCACTGGAAGCACTTTTTCATCAAAAAAAGATGGCGGCGCCCAGCAAACCAGCGGCCCGGTAGGACTTGTTCCGCGGACCGGTACCGGTCCGTGGACCGGTGGTTGGGGACCCCTGCTCTAGAGTACAGGTACCTAACTGCTGCAACGATTTTTCCTATGTTTTAGCCTATGACCCTGATGACCTTTTTTGCTCTTCTCTTCACTCCTTCCAGGGTCTCGAATCTTTTTTATATTGTGGTGACCAAAACTGGATGCAATATTCCAAGTGTGGTCTTACCATAAATATAATAAATATATAAATTATATTTAAATAAATTCAATATAATAAAATGCAAGGAATAGAATAGAAAATGGAATGGAATAGAATAGGAATAGAACAGAAAAGAATACAATAGGAATGGAATAGAACAGAGCAGAATAGAATAGGAATAAAAATAGAACAGAGCAGAATAGAATAGGAATAGAATGGAATAGAATAGAATAGAATAGAATAGAATAGAATAGAATAGAATAGAATAGAATAGAATAGAATAGAATAGAATAGAGCAGAATAGGAATAGAAATAGCAATAGCAATAGGAATGGGATGGAATAGGAATAGAATAGAAAGATGGAATGGGATGGAATATCACCCATTCCTTCTGAGCCCAGGGGCTGGTGAGAGTTTAGTGTTTGCTTTTCCTCCAAGAAATGGATATATTTGAGATTCAGTCTTTAAATGAAGGATTTGGACACACCATGTTATTGACCCCAGGGCCTGCCAGAAAAGACGGTCCCATCTTCTGGACTGAATTTAGGAGTCCTTGTGTTAGCCATCATTGTGCTTGAGGGCTTTGAGTTCATTGGCAGGCTGATTAAGGCAGGGGCTGGCAGACAGAGTGGTTGAGACTGTGCTGTGCTTGGCATGGGCAGTTCATGAAAACCACTGGGTCTTTTCTCAGGATTATGCTGCAGCTGTGGGAGGTAGCTGCTTTAAAGGGCGTGTTTCTTTAAAGGCTCACCTCTTGATTTCAGTTCCAAAGCCCTCATTCTCCCGTCTTGGCAGCCCTTAGGGCAGGGGGTCCCCAATGCTGGCTCGAGAATTCTGGGAATTGAAGTCCACAAGTCTTCAAGTTGCCAAGTTTTGGGGACCTCTGTCTTAGGTTTTCTTCCGGGAATGAGAGAACCTGTAGTGTTTTGGACTGAGGCAGCTTACGGCTGTCTGCTTCATGCCTCGCCTTGCGAAAGGAGACATTAGGTGGGTTTCCTCGCAGGCCCTCCACACCCATCGATGTCCCCTCTCTTCTTTCTCGCAGTGCGGGAGTAGGCAGGACCGGCGTCTTCATCACGCTAAGCATCGTCCTGGAGAGGATGCGCTACGAAGGGGTAGTGGACATCTTCCAGACCGTGAAGATGCTGAGGACACAACGGCCGGCCATGGTGCAGACAGAGGTGAGAAAAGGAGGGCTTCACATTGGACCCACTCGAGACTCAGCAGGCTTTGGGTCAGGGGAAAGAAGGGAGGAATCCAGCACTTCCCCTACGACCCCCCCCCCCCCCCAAAAAAGTGTTACCTCCACCCCCCACCCTTCTCCTGACCGCCTCCTTGCTCCAG